AATCGACTGCCACTTAGTTACTGAAAAATAGGAAAAATATTGTCATTTTCTTGAATCTTAATTTTGAGATCTAAACTTTCTTTGGCGGCAGATGCGATTTGCTGATGTGAAGGTGAGAAAGCGGTTGAAGGGACGAAAAAAGATTTTTCTTGTATAGTTTCATGCAAGCTGTCGAATGAAATTGGAACTAAAGTTTCAAAGTCTTTCACACATTCAAAAATTAAATTTTAAATTTTTAAATTTTGAATAAGATGAGGATATATCTAAAAGTGTATGTTTCCGTTGGCTAAAAGTGTGAAATTCGGAATGAGCACAAAATTCTATGCAAGACAGTATAATTTATTAATAGGGTATGAGAAACTCTAATTAAACTAGTCCAAAAGTGAAATATGCCGAAAGTTAGACTGCTCATTCTATAAAAGATATTTTGACATTATAAAAAAAAAAGAATTTTTTCAGTAGTGACGTGTGTGTGGCCTATTTGCTACANAAAACCCTTGTACATTTAATAGGAATGCCACTTTTTTCCATGCTTTTCTAGTCTAGGGAGTTTTTATTTTAATTCATTATTATTTTTAGAACTCTTCAGTTCTAACACTAAATAAGGGATATAACAACGAAAGAAAAGAGCGCCGTCTCTCATAAGTAAACGAATTCTCTCTTTTTAGCCGTTTCGCGCTATACTTAATTAATGAGACTTTTAATGAGAGCAGTTAGCGCCGTTTCCAGTCTAGAGTTATTCTAGTTTGCTGTGATCTATTTATTCCATTTTTGGCATTTGCAGCTTATTAGATGCGATAGTTTCCTTAAATCTTACAATTCTAATATAGTTATTGGGAAAAATCAGTATTGCTCGAAGGAGAGCCAAAAAAAGCAATAATGAGTCTCGTGAAGACAAACAGTATGATCGCAACCGTCAAAAATTTATGGAAAAAAGTGGCATTCCTATTAAATGTACAAGGGTTTTAGACCATGGAGATGACGGCTATATAGTTCGTTTCTCTACAGTGGCTCGTCAGCTCAGGTAAGGTGTTCCAATATGGTACCCGTCCTTTGACACTCTTTTATTATTTGGTCAGTTTAATGGCAGAACAAAATTTTTCATTTTTGAGCCACGATTTCCACTGAAATAACTCTTTGCTCTACATAGAGATCTTTCTGTGACGAAGTTTGATTACGTCATGTTCTCGAACAAAAGTCCGAGTAAAACATGGTGTAATCAGGACTAAAAGAGGATATTCGAACATCTAAGACGCGGAGGCAATTTATATATGATATTTCTTGTAGTAAGCGGTTGAACTTTCTGAGAAATGGGCATGGCCTACTTGAAATCATGCGTATAGTTGATCTTCATGGTAAGATCTTTAGTCTTGAGGGAACTGAAACTGAGTTCTTCAGTAATTGAGTTCTTTATATGGGGTCTTTGATCTTAGCGAAACGCGAAGCCCATCGTCTGCTCTTTTGAGGAGCTTGTTCACAGTTCTTTTTTCTTGATATTTATATATCTTATTACATCTTACTTTGTTTGCGTTTGGCTTGAGCCATTGTTATTACGAGTCGAGACCTTTAATGTCTTCCACTTTTCGTAAATAATATAAATTAAATAAATAAATCTCTGCGAAGCTGCAATTATCTACTTATTGCACGATGTTTTACCGCACTATGTTCGAGAACATAGTGCAAAGGGGTGGAGCATTTACAGTCTTTAATTAGCCGTTCTGTAAGGAAAAACTGAGTCATTATCTCTCATATCCGGCGCCGTTTCTACGGTGCACGCGCACTTATTCTTGTTTTAACGCAGGCAGTGCCTTCTTTGATCTTATTCGCAGTCATTCTATGCACTGAAGTATGTCGAATTTCATTTTAATAATTGTAGTTCAAGAAATAGCAAGTTTCCTTATATTTTACTCTATAAACTACGCTAGAGCAAATAGTGTAATCATTGGCGCTTTAATGGCGCCAATAGGAACGTTGCTATGGGCCATAAGAATAAGGGAAAAAACCGCATAGATTATGTCGACGCCAGAGAAAAGTTAAAATCAAATTCTATAATTTATGGCGTCGGCATATTCATTTAATTTTATGTATAGAGCTATATTTTCTCAGCGTTCTGTTCACCGTGGAAAAAGTACCCAGTTTTCTAATGAAGGAAAAAAAGGTATAGGAAATATTTTGGACAAAAACTAATTCTCCAAAAGAAGGCTTTGTGGTCGTTCAGATTTTTCCGATCATGCTTTACAGTCAGTGATTTCACCGGTAATAGTGATTTCTACCGGTAGTAATTCTGGTTTTGAATTGTTATTGTCTTCTTCTTTCTTACTCTGATTTTGTCTAAGAATATATTAGAAATTGTTTTCCGAAAGCATTTATTTAGTTTCTGTACAACATTTATTTGAAAACATACAAGGTAGCAATAACAATGATGATAATGGGTCATCATCATGACAGTTTATTTCCAACATGAGAGTAAATTACAGTGGCTATTTACCGAAGAACTGTAGCTTATTTGGCTTTTAAGTTAAGAAGAATTTTGACATATTCTGTATCAATTGCCACAGCACCGGGTAGGATCGGGGCCAAATCAGCATTTGCTTTCTTTTTCTTCCTAATTTGTGGTAATCCTGTATAATGGTCATTTTTAATTTCCAAATAAAATTTACACGGCGTATTTTCCACATGCGAAATGCTGTTGGACTGACGACAGCCATGGTTTGATACAGTGCCGATAGCTTTTATCCCTACAACAATTTTACAACAGAGATTGGATTAAGAGTATGATGAAAGGCGAGCAAACAGAGCGTTTGCTTTTTTTGAAAGAAAAAGCGGTTGTAGTACACTTTTTTTCGAGCACCTGCTTTCTTTGTGTTGCGAAAAACAAGTGACAATTCTACGGTGTCCCTTTCTTTTTCTTTAAAAATAAATCAGACACAAAAAAGTGTTTTTTGACTTTTTAAACCGTGACACGACATTACCGCGAACGACATTACCGCGAATACAAAACACGACATTACAGTGAACGACGTTACCGGGAAGACTCGTTTATTGGAAAAGAAGAATAAATGAGCCTGGTTTTGTACTTTGTATATCATGTGGAGGGAGGTGGGAAGTGGGGAGAGGGCATGGTGAGAGTGAGTTCGAAAAGTATTTTCACATAAAACATATTATCGTGACGGGAAGCTAGATATGTGTGGCTGTATCAGATAATGACTAGTCACCACATAAAGTCAGTTAAGTTTGAAAGCATGATGTACAAAATACAAAACCGGCTTCATTTATTCGGCTTTTCCAACAAACAAGTCTTCGCGGTAATGTCGTTCACGGTAATATCGTTCGCGGTAATGTCGCTCGCGGTAATTTAGCTGTATCCTTTAAACTCGACTTGTTTGAAACGATATGTTTTACAACCGTCTATTCGTTACAGAAAAGCCCAAGCCTTGGAAACTTGGACTGGTTCTTACTACGCGCGCAGTCCTCGAGACTGCCTTTCTGAAGCGATGCCAAAAATTCATTTTTCGCTCAAAGTCCCTAAATGATACGTGGTTAGAACCAGTTACATGTAGGGAATCTAATGAAGTTAAATCAAAAAAGTTAGATCGTAATTTGGAAGAGCTAGAGGTCGTTTTCTGAAAAGCATGTAATTTGAGTTTTTCACACCCACCCAGTTTTTTACGATTTTCTACCTAAAAACTCTGTCAAAAGTTTAAAAAAGGCCAGATTCGTGCTCGGCGCACTGCTGTGACTCTGAGTCCACGAAAAAAAAATTTGAAAACAGTCCCTGCATCTTTGAATTTGGTGCACCTTACTTTGATGGAAAATATAGCTTATTTCTATCTTTTTGATGAAAATCTCGGCTTTCCAAGATAATTCGTCTTGGAGATTCAATTTTTAAAACTTCATGATATTTTTTCGATGATGAATTACTGTACATTTCAGAAGTAAATGGACCTGATTATACACGTTAAAGTCTTGTGGCAGCGACATCTATAATTTCTGCATAAAACGCCATCTAGAGTATGCAGTTATGCTACTGTATTGTCCGATATTAGTTGTATACGTAATGAAATTTTCGTGATTATTGATAACATGGTTTGTAGGTGAGATCGACAGTAATATCACTAATTTATACTACATAGTATAAATACAAAAATACAAAATTCTTTTCTTTCAATCAACAAAATCCTGCCAGATCTCGTAGGAAAATACTTGCGCAACAAAGCCCTTAGGTACAACTTCTGTAGAGGGAATATTTTTATTAGATTGCGGAATTCAGTATCGTTTGGCTACCTCCGATATTGGCTTCAGTTTTGGCCAGTCCATTACGGCGTGTGTTTTTGATTGCAAAAATCAACAAACAACCCAAATATTTTGGTTTTGAAAAAGCTGTGCGTTAAACTGTAGCCAAACAAGAAGATAAAGATTGTTTAGTTAATAAATTACAATGTATTATATTATTTCCCAATGATGGTATTAAAGTAACTTGTACCGAACAACTGGAAGTAACATCTTATATAGTTCTGGATGAAAATCAAACAGTATCTAGTATCGATACAATTGCACGACGATGGATAGATCTATTTCCTTCAACTCATCGTCCGCAATTCAAACATTATCAATACAATTTCCTAATATAATAAAAGTGACATCATTCTCAATCGAAGAATTACAAGCTGTTGCCAAATTTCGAGTTTTTGAAGTCGAAGATCAAGTCGCATACATTCACACTCATGTTGATTGTAGCTATCTTGAAGAACTACCTCGATCACAACCAAAACTCGATGAGAATCGGATATTTTGTTTTATTGCAACACAACTTAACATGTCCGATCGCGCACGTACAGATAAAGACTTATCTCAAGAACAAGCTAATACTCTTTTTCAACAGATTCAATCACTTTCTCTGCCTATGAAAAAATTAAAATCGCAGTTTTATATTCGATATAATGAACAATCTTCAAATGCAACTATTCTTGCTTCAAATTCTTTGTATCAATACAATGTTTATTTGCATTTACCAGAAAAAGAACGAATGAAGAATTTGTCACATTAATTTATATTGTCATTTTATTTATAGACCTGAACATATGGCTCTTATATTCAAATCAGTCATCCTTCAATATGCTGGTTTTTTTAAAGAAATAGTCTTCTCAGTAATTGATGATCATAATACTGGTCAACGTTTAAATCCTAACGGCAATTTTATTCCGTTTCAGCAAGTTCTTGATAAGTTTGTTGCACATTCACCTACTACTCAGGCTGTTGGAATGTCATTAGGACCGCATCGTTTGGTCCGATCAAAAGCAAACAACAACAGCACTACAACTGAAGAATTTATCGTAGATGATGTACCACCTTGTGAACAAGCCGCATATTGTGAAAATTTGAATGATCAAATCACTGTCGTTCATATTCTCATCCTCCGTTATGTCCACTTGGTTCTGAATGTGCTGAAAACATGGATGATGTGCATTGTGAAATATTCATTCATCGAAGAAAATGTTCTGATGGATGTCAATGTCTTGTAACTGATGCTCATCATTTGGCTGATTTTGATCATCCTGAATATTGTCCTGATGGAGGTCGTTGTACTAATATGGGAAAGGATCATCTGAATCTTTATCGACATGTACCAATATGTAAAAACGGCATTGATTGTGATCGTAGATACACACAAGGAGCACAACATCTCGCGCAATTTCGTCATTGTCAACATCCATGCGAATTTGGGGGTAATTGTGTTCATTTTCATGATCAAAAACATATCACTAATGAACAACATCCATTCAATCCACCTTGTCCTTATACACCTTTTTCATGTAAAATGTTTGCTAAATTTTTACAACCAAATAATGGTCAAAATAATAATTCAACAAATCAAAATGAAATGAATGAAATTAGAACACATTGTTGCCGTTATTCACATATATGTCCATGGGGTCGTTTATGTAATGATCAAAGTGAAGAACATTTATCAATCACAATTCATATCGCTCGACAAATGTGTCCAAATGGAAATAATTCATGTAATCAAATGATGGAAGAAGATCATCTTGATTCATTTAGTCATTTAAATGTACGAGATATGCGTTTGTTATGTTATTATCCAGGTTCTGAATGTCGTGATCGTGCAAAAGTTGAACATATTATCAAATATCGACATAACTACATGTTAGATTATTTAGGTGTCGCACAATATTTTGCGCTAAATAAACAAATTAATTTTGTTCAAAATCAAATTGAAATGACTCAAATGATTTGTAATTACGTCAAAAAAACCTACAAACAAGCATGGACAAGTGTTTCTGTTCCAAAAAATTTATTAGATTGGATCGCTGCTCTTCAACCTATTCATCGATGTGTCGCGCCTATTTTTGAATCAATTCTTGTACATGGACATGTTATGAGTCGTTCTTATATACAAAGATTAAAAGATCCGACATTTGTCGCTGGTATTGTCGATCAACATAAACGTGTACGAACAATACTTGCTAGTCAAGTTCCCCACAAAGAGCTACGGGAGGGAGAGGCATGAGAGTGAGTCACCATACTACCTTCAATCTCAATCCACCTGGT